CTTGAACAAAAGTAACAGTTGTCACTATGGTTCTTTTGCTCTCGCCATACCATAGGAATCCCATAATGGAAAGATTTTTTTCTTACCCTTGAACCAGTTTCGGAGGTCCTCCACTCACTGTTTGCACACTTTATGAGGCACCCAAACTTTATCTTGATCTCCAATTTTTAGTCCAAAGTATGCAAAGTATACTTTTTTCACAAAGTCTGTAATATTCTGCTGTTGCTTCAACATTGTATATTCACCACAGATGAAACAGAAACTGTCTGGCGAATTAATACACTTTCGCGGAGCCATAACATAACGGTTGAAGAATGATGAGCTAACACGAACTGCGATGAAAAAGTGTGAACAGCCTAGAACCAAGAACCTGATGATGATTCGTTCACAAGTGTGGACTGCAGGAGAGAGCAGCTCTGTGTCTGTACACGAGATGTCACAGTGCTGGCCACGCCCCCCCTGCACTGACCGGAGCTGCTGCTATCTGCCCTGTGTCTCCCTCCCACTGGATTCTTCAGGAAAGATTAACCCCTTCTACCATTAGAAGCACAGACTCAGGGCTGAGGCTTAAACATACAGCATGCTGCTGAGTATCCTAGTAGTCAGACATGTCACTCAGAGCAGCACTTGTATTCACCCCCTTTGCAGGGGGGGAGGGCAGAGATTGTTTTCCTGCAAATAACAAAGGGCCAGAAGAGAACTAGGGAAATGAGGAAATAGAATTTTTTTCCCTAAAACTTGCTTAGCTTATGTATATATTGCTGACCCTCAGATTTACAGTGCTATATTTTGTTTTCCATAACTTGGACAACCCCTTTTAAGGTTTTTTTGGCATTTTATATCTTAAATGCACTTATCTGAATTAATTAATAGTAATTTGGACTTTACATTTGGTTACATACCCATAATATAAAAAAAATACCAAAAATTAAAAAAAATTGAAGACAGTTTTGCATTTTGTGGCAAATCATGACATCTAGGAGTTTTTTCAATATTTTATTTGTTTTCAGCACACCAAAATACATGGAAATTAGATGAAAATAATCAAACAGCTTTTTAGTCACAGACCTGTGTTATTAATCAATAGTGGAAACACAAGACAGATTCCAGGGCAGTATGTAGGCCATGAGGGTTTTAGGGGTAGAGTGAGTGGGAGGGGGAGAGGCAGTGTTGCAGTGGTGGTTGGGGGGCCTGGGGAGGGAGGGGAAGAGGTGGGGGGATGGGGATGTCCATATCTTAAGTTCTCTAGATCTGTGTCCCTGTGTTGGGAAAGTGGATAAAATAGTGAAATAACTTCAGAAATTCACTTGATTAAGTTAATGACTTATAATGTGAATGGATTAAATTCCCTGACAAAAATACAGAAGATTCTTAGGGAAATACACCAACACTCCACTGATGTAGTGTTTCTGCAAGGGACACATATAACCTGTGATACAAATGTCAAGTTATACTCAAAGTGCTATTCAACATGGTATTATGCAGATTCCTCAGTTAAAAGGGCTTAAGAAGTAGCAATCGGGCTTTCAAAAAACGTTAGTTTTACCCTAAAGGGGAGAATGGAGGGCTCAGAGGGCCGGTTTCTCTTTCTCTTTCTGAAGGGAAGATTACAAGGAATTGAATATACACCTGTCAATATCTATTGCCTGAATAAAAACCAGTATCATGCTTTGAGGGTATGTTAGGAAAAATCTCTCAATATAAAAGGGGCAGTCTGGTTGTGGCAGGAGATATTAATTTGTGTCTGGATCCGCAATTGGATACGTCATCTGGAACGCAGAGTGAGGGTGGGAAGAAATTAAAACTATTGAAGAGGTTATTATACCAAGTTCAATTATCTGACACATGGAGAATAAAACATCCTAGAGTAAGAGACTACACCTTCTTCTCTCCAGTACACGGAACATACTCAAGACTGGATAATATAATGATCGAGCATAGACAACTGGAGTTGCTGGTCAGTTCCAATATAGAGGTATGTCTATCTCTGATCATGCTCCTGTCGCAATGAGAATGCGGGTTGGAGTAGACCAGGATAAAATAATTACTTGGAGACTAAATTAGATGCTTATACAAGACCCTGAAATAGATAATAGGTTAAGGATGGAATTTTTTTTTTTAGTTTGATGAGACCAAGGAGGTTCTTGCAGCCATAATCTGGGAGGCACATAAAGCATAAATCAGGGGAAAACCGATAGCTCTAGGGGCTAAAAAAAAAAAAAAAGAGAACGGGATGGAAAAAATAAAGAGGGTGGCGGAGGAGTTATATAAATTAGAACAGTTACATAAAAAGAAGAGAGGCATGGATATATACCAGAAGATAATCCTTAAAAGGGAAGAATTAAAAGATCTTATGGAACAGATGTTGAGGAAGATAATCAATAAGGTATCAAAAGAAAGATATCAGTGGGGGAATAGACCTGGAAAACATCTAATGCAGAGGCTAAAAGCAATCCAAAAATTTTATAGATAAAATTCAAAGTGGTAAAGAAGAATTGGTGTACTCTACCACTGATATCGCTGATGGGTTCCAAGATTACTATAGTAGGCTTTATGATGTGAGCCCCAGAAATCAAAAGAAAATGGAGGATGAAAAGAAGAGAAAGGCAGAAATACTTAAAGGAAGTGGAGATACCAAGAATAGCAGAAGAAAAACTAGAGGCCCTAGAGAAAACTATTACCCTGGAAATCAGCTTGGCCTTAAAGAACACGGCCCCTGGAAAGAACCCTGGTCCGGACACTGTGGGCTATTTTAAAGTATGTAGAGATCTTTTGGTTCCTAAAATGTGTGGATACGTGAATGCAATAGAAGAGGGGATGGAAATAAGGGAATAATCATTGCAAGCACATACAACTATCATACTCGAAGAGAAGGATAAATCAGTGTGCTAGTTCTAGACCTATATTCTTACTAAACATCCACACAAAAATTATATGCGAAGGTTCTGCAACTAGACTGAAGGAGCTGATACCAGAGTGGATACACCTGGATCAGGTAGGATTTATCCCTGGAAGGGAGGGACAGGACAATGGTCTGAGGTCATTGCTCCTCTTGCAAAGAGTAAAGAGAGAGAAACGGCCAACAAATTCCTGTTGATCGATGCCGAGAATGCTTTTGACAGGGTCGACTGGGGTTTTATGTTTAATACATTAGAAGTCTTAGGACTGGGGCTGAAAATGTTGAAGTGAATAAAAGGGCTTTATAACGGTCCGTCAGTGGTGGTCAAGGTCAACGGATCCCTCTCCCAGTTTTTTAAAATGCATAACGGTACTAGACAGGGATGTCCACTATCTCCACTGTTATTTGTACTATCACTGGAACCCGTTCTGGCAAGGGTAAGACAGTGTGCAGATATAGCAGGAATTAAGATAGGAGATGTGGAGCATAAGGTGGCAGCATACGCAGATTACATGTTATTTTATATAGTAAACCCTAAAATAACATTGCCTAATTAAATGAGATTACTAAAACAATATGGCGAGCTGTCAAATCTGAAAATATTTGGGAATAAAATTAACCCCTTCAACAAAAAGCATATACCAGAAAAATTACATCCCTTTAATAAATGAAATAAAGGACGAGCTGGGGAGACATTCAAAGGGAGGAGCTTCATGGATAGGTTGTATAAACCTAGTAAAGGTGGTGATAGTCCCAAAAATCCTTTATAAATTTCACATGCCCCCAACAAACCTACCAGGGTCTTTCTTTGGGGTGATAAAGAAGATGATACTCAGGTTTATATGGGCAAATAAACCAAGAATTAGACATGATGTATTGTGTAGGGTAAAAAGGAATGGGGGATTGGGGTTGCCTAATTTTCAGAAATATTATTTAGCGGTGATTATATCAGGAGATTTAGATTGGACAATTAAATCACAAGGGAAAGAAATGGGTAAATATGGAAAGAACACTAAGTAAGGCACAGTTAGTGAAGATTATATGGATATCACATATATTTCGCACATTAGATGAGAATAATAGTTCTTTAACAAAAAAAGTGTTAAGTGTTTGGGATATAATTTATAATCAGGATGGAAATACAATACAAAATCTTCATAGGCGACGCTTTAAAAGCCTGTACAAGTTACCATTTTTTTTTAGAGTTGAGCCTGGGTTCACACTAATACAGTGCGGAATTCGCACTGGTTTCAGTGCGATTTCCGCTCCGCATCACAATCGCACCCCGTTCATGCAAACCACTGCGGGTGTGTATTTTAAGTTAACAACACCCCAAAATCAGTTCGCAAAACGCGGTGCGATGTGCAGAATCAGATCGCATGGGTGTGAATACCCATGCGATCTGATTCTGGTGCTGACCAAAAAAAGGGCCCTGCACTATATTGGTTATGTGGTGCAATCTGAGCCATACAAAATGTATGGCTCAAATTGCACCGCACTGAAATCGCATGTGATTTTTCACAGGAATACGGTGCGGTTCCTCTGTGAATCAAATGCCATGTGCTTCACCGCTAATGTGTAACCCTAAGCGTGAGCTTTATATTTATTGCTCTCACTGTCAGTTTCTGGTAATAACTCACAATACAATACAATACAATCACTGTTTACATTTACTTTTTTTTTTCTTCAACTTTATTGCCATCACAAGGGTTGAAAAACATTCCTTGTGATAGCTTGGGCAGTGACAGGTACTCTTTATTAAGAGGTCTGGGGTCTATATTAGAGCCCTGATCTCTCCTCTGTCCTCCAAGGCAGCCGATCAAACACAGATTGGATGAAGGGCAGCAAAAGTGGGACCTACTCAATATTAGGTGGGTGGTCATGTTATGGTCGGTGGATATAATGTTAGGGCTGATTGGTGTAATGTTTTAGGAGTTTTAAATATTCTTCAGGCCTAAAATGACTTTTTAAATGTGTGCAAAAAAAAAAAAAACCCACAAAAATCGCTCTGGCAGCAAATGGGGTAGACTATCGCCTGAAGTTATTTTAAAATGTACGTGTACCAAAAATAACAAAAATAATTTTATCATTTAAATTTCAGATCTGTGTTTACAGCAAAGAATGTTTCGGGATGAAGCCTTTGTTACTTCTGCTGCATCTGACAGTCTGTGGACTCACTCCGTGTTTTCTCTGATCCCAACATGGATGAAGAGAGCTCTATTTAAACGTGCTGCACCCCAATCCCAGGTATGCAGACCATAGTAATGAATAAAATAAAGAATAATATACACATCGGCTATCAAAGGATTTGAATTCCTAATCATCCAGTCTTGGCAATTGCGCAGCCCTGCTAGACTGCTCAGCCAGGTTGTTGACCCGATTTTCTTTACTGCTGTTAGGCAGTACAGTATGATTACCTCTCAAACCTAAGTCTGTGTGCAAAGGAGCAGAAACAGACTCCTTAGGTTATCACTTTCCTTCTATCAGCACATGTTCAAGAAGCAGAGGCTCCAAGGGCTGCCCCTTCTTCCCCCAGTCTGAGTTCTGCTTTATAGAGGATGACAGGAAGCTGATATGAAGACAGATTTATGTACTTCCACTAGTTGCATGTAAAAATACAGTACATTATTGCATTCTTTTCTGTTTTATATCTAAAGTTCTGTTGTAAAGTGGCATTAAGTCCCCTGTTTCCCCTTAAATCAGATAAAAAAAAATCTTGCGTGCAAATAAACTTTTTTTTTTTAATTTTCTCCTTGTAGCTTCAATATTCAATAGGCCCCTGGCCATGCTGCTATATTCCTGTTCTCTCTGTACCCCTGTGCTGCCAGGACCTGTGAATTCATTTTGTGAGTTTCCTCTATATGCTTGCTCTCGCTGTGTTCTACATCTCTACATGCATTAGATCAGAGCACTGCACACATATCTGGTACACATGTATGCATACAGACGGCATTAAACTGATATTAAAGGTTCAGCTAAAAATAACATATTATACTTACCTGCTCTATGCAACAGTTTTGCAAAGAGAGTCCCGGGACAGCTGATCCTCCCATGCACATTGCTGGATCACGAGGGGGCTCAGGAGAGTATTGGGGAGGGCTGTGGGGGGAGCAGCACACAGAAGATTTCTTACCTTCATGAATAGGTGTGGGCAAATGCACTACATTTGCGTTTGGGGTGTCGTTAACTTTTTATCGTCGTTTGCTGCAGACTGCAATTGTACTGCATTTTACATGCAATTTGAATTGCGTAGGAATGCACAGTGTGTTCCTGTGCAATTCCGCTGCAGGCATGGTGTGAACCAGCCCTTAATATAAATTCAAAAGTCCTTTTTATCTTTTTTCCGACACTTCTTGTTACGCCGGCTGCTAGATTGAAATTGCTGAAGTGGACAAATTTTAGTCCATGTATGAGCAGGCTGGTTGTACAAAAGTCGATCAATTGATTGACTTGTGTAAAACCAGTCGGTTAGAAATTTTTGTCTCGATCACTGCTGCTGGCTATAGTGTATTCCGATGGCAGGGAAGCCTCCCTGCCATCAGAATACAATAGCACCGTGGGAGGGATTCCACCATCCGCATCAAGTGTGTGGTCAGGGAAATTGAGTAATTTTCTTTCGTTGAACAAAAAAAAATGACTCCTGTATGGCCCGCCTTACGGTGACAACGCTGTGTCCATGTCTCTCAGTTGTTCTGCATTATCAACCCGTCACTTGACCTTCTGATGAAGACTGCAAGTGGCCGTTTTAAGACACATTACGTATAAATGGTCCACTGTTGTTACTATCAGAAAACTAACTCTGTGAAATGTCATGCAGCCACAGCTGGAGTGCTTGTGGACAGGAAATGACTGCAAAGAGGCTGCAGGAAATCTGCAGCAGTGATATACAACAAAGGATGAAAAAGAAGCTGAAAAACTTCACTACACAAAACAAAATCTAGCATTTTTTATGATTCCACTTAAATAAATTTGACTGAATCTTGAGCTCTGAAGGAGTTTGTTTTGCCTTGTAAATAGCCCTCGGAATTATAAGGGTGGATCTGGTTTTCATTGCCCCAGGCACACTCCAGTCTTACAGCAGCCCTGGAGCCATTCTATTGCCTCGAGTGCTGAGTGGTTTCTATAGTTCAGCCACTAGTTAACTGACCTGTAAAGTAGCAGAGCTGTTGATCCCTGCTTCTTAGTTATCCCAATTTGTATTTTTTTTTTACCCACCTATTCAGAATGCGGATAACATTCTTCTATTTGCAGCTTAGAAATACATTTATTAGTTTTTGCAGCTTTTCCGTCAGGGAAGCCATCCTTTGAGACCCCCCGGAGGCATCCAGATAGCTATTCCCTACCAGCCGGTCACAGGATTTCTCTCTCTATTTTCTGACTTCTTTCATAGTTGTCATGCTGCTAATAGGATTGTGAACTCTGAGTCAAAGCAGCAGTATGGGATTGATGCGCTGTGTCAGATCTGTGCCATTCAAGATGCACCTTAATAATCAAGATCATGGAGCAAGAGAAGATTATATGACCGTATTTTCGAAAGGGAATGAACTTGGCACACTGTATCCACGATGAGTAACAATGCCATTCTTAAAGGGCAACTCTTATTTAATCTATCACTGTGTTTGACGAACTTGTACTCCACTACAGGCAGTAGGTTTCTGTCCTCTCTCCCTTTGCAGGAGCAGACTCTCCGCATTCGTGAGCCGTCGAACATTCAACAGATTATTCACAAAAGAGAGCTGCTCACCATAAAAGCCAATATGAGTTTATTGAAACCAAAAGGATTGAGTCACAAAATCTACCTGGTACGATAAATCTAATGCGTTTCACTCCACGAAGGAGGCTAATTATAGATTCATATAGTTTTACTTAATCTATGGAACGTATGCAGTGGAAGTGTTCTCCGCTGGTGGCATCTTACATTTTTTCTTTTTAGCCATGTACCACTGATTTTATTTAGCAATAGCCTTAAAATACCGTTTCCCCTTTGAGTAATTGCCCTTCTGGCAAGTGAAGAACATGTCTTCAAAGTTGACCATACATCCACAGACTTCCTTCATTCAGCCTGTAGGCCAAACAGAAGAAATTAAACATATATCTCCATCCATGCAAAAACTGCACTGATGGACGAATCTTCCACTCCCAATGCTGACAGAAAAAACTGCACTGATGGACGAATCTTCTGCTCCCGATTCTGACAGTCAGCAAAAACTGCATTGATGGACGAATCTTCTGCTCCCGATTCTGCAAGTCAGCAAAAACTGCACTGATGGACGAATCTTCTGCTCCCGATTCTGACAGTCAGCAAAAACTGCACTGATGGACGAATCTCATGCTCCTGATTCTGACAGTCAGTGCCACTGGCTTTTAAAATTCCTGAAAAGTGCCTGCATCTGATTGAATGCAAGCACTGTTTGGCCAACAAATTTTTACCTGACTTCTATTTTTCACTTGAAGATTATTGGAAGGAGTAGTGCCAATCGGGCTACCCATCGTTTGAATTTCGGAGTGTTCATTAGGAATTGGCCAAAATTCTCTCAGTGTATGTCTAGCTTTACAGGAGGGTGGGCAGTGCTGAGTTGAGAATGCTGGTATAACTGAGTTCTTATTAAAGGTTCTTCTTTAACTTCTTGCCACGTATATATATGTGTGGTGGCAAAGGGGGTGGACTTTACCATCCACACTTCATACATATGCATTCGTAGCTTTCCTGTGCTGAGATCATGCTCACTGCACGCTCCACACACAGTGACTGAGCTGTCAAACACAGCTCCTGATCTGGTAATGATCGAGAGCTGGTCTCTGACATTCAATTCTAGTGGTCACATGGTCAGGTGAGCCTTCCCAGTCCAAGAGCGTAATAGCACAGTTCAGGGGGTGACGGGGCTGGGTGGGAAGGGTTTAAAGAAAACGTGTTAACACCGGAATACATAAAATGGCATCTTTATAAGGGAGCAGCTAAGGTATAAGGCATAATAATGTAAATACTTATTATTTAAAGTGGAAGTCAGCCTAATCCTAACTAAGCTAGAAAGAAAGATTTGTATACTTACCTATTCTGATAGCGATCCGATCTGGTCACATGATTTCTCCAGCGACCGGCTTCTGTGAAGAGGATAGATTGCCAACAATGGCTGCAGAGCCTGGGCAATGACGTTATTCATAGACTTGGTATGGGGAATCTGTTGTCAGCTGTCCCACCGCTACACTGAAGCTGGTCGCTGGAGCGAGCATATGACTGCGCTGGATTGCTCTAAGAATAGGTAAGTGTATGCATCTTCCTTTCACAGGGTAGATAGAATAGGGTCTAGAAAGGAAGGGAGGGGGATATGAAAGTCGGAAGGAAGACCAGGTGAAGTTGGAAGCCCATGGGATCAGAGAGAGCCGTGTCAGTGCAGCGCTGGGGGGCCCCATTTGTAGGCAAGTCTGTCATAATGTACTAGCATGTGGCACATACTAGTACGTAATAACTTAAGCCTGCGGGGGGCTCATTTTCTGATTCTAGCAGGAAGGCTTTACTACCATTTTAAGCTGACCATACGCCAGTAGAATTTTGTTTGAGTGTTTATAAGGAAATTCAGAAACCACTTTCATCAAAGCATTGGATCTTGCCATGACTGAGCCAACTAAGCTCTTAAAATTTCATCCAGAAAGGTTTATTTTGTGCCTAAAATGTACATGTTAAAATATGTATGATTTTTCCTGAATGTATACCACTTTTACAGAATTTTATTTGTTACAGAAAATTTTCCATACTGCTCTCTCAAATTTTCATCATTTGTCATTACAGTTTGACCCCATTAACAATTAGAAAATAGAACAAACGTTCAGAAAACAAGCCTTTTTCGAATAAAATTTTACTGGTACATGGCCAGCTTTAGAAGGATCATCAATTTTCCAATGGTGAAGTATAGGCACACTACCTCAATCCCGACTTTACATCCTATGGTTAAACAGTGTAGTGTCTTGGCTGGCACTCCATGCTTGCTAGCTTTGGCTTCAAAGTTTAACATCTGTCTCCATTTTTTGTTGACCCCCTACACCCCACATTTATGTAAAAAAAAAGTCCATGTACATTTTAATCTGCGGCTGTTCTGCTCAGTTCAGTAATGCCATGTATCCTTGCCTGGAGGTGAGATGTCCTTCCTCTTGGGCAGAGCGGCAATCACACATTATTTAATGCAGGAATACTGGTCACCCATGGGTATGTACATAACATCCTGAGCTTACAGAAAGTGGTATGAATGATG